CAGAACCTTTTGGAAACAGTTGTTTTACACTCTAAGCATTTTTTAACATCTGCCATTTTGATTACAAACTTTAGGTCATTGGATTCAGGTAGATTCAATTGATATTTGCTTTCTACAGTACAAAGGCTTCAAGTTTGCTTAGTAATTTATTAATGCTTAGGTTATTACACAAGCAAGTAATACAAGATGTTCGAAGTACTTTAAAATAATATAAAAAAAAATTTTATAAGTTGTGTAATGTTAAACAATGATCTACATAAGGAGCACTGTCCCTGCTATTTAAAAATAGTAAACAATGCCAAATTTAACTATCACGTTACACCTAATTAGGGTCATCAACAATTTATAATTTTGCTGGATATAAACTAGCTACGTGCTAGCTTTTATTATAATAATAATTTGTTAATATTCAAATATCTGTGCTTAATTTATTTTTCTGTATATATGTCACATATCGCTTTATAATATCTCTGGGTTTTAAATTAACATGTATCACTTCAAAATTTACACCGATTGAAATGTAACATATATCAATATTAACTATGCTCAAAATTAATTTTTTGATTACTAATAAACTATTTTTTTTAATCAAATAAATTTAATAAACTATTTTTTTTAATAATACAAATTGATCATAGAAAACTTTACCGATTTCTATTTTTTTCTTTTCTTAATATCAACATAATCTCTAATAACTTATTGGTTTTTTTATTTCTTTCGCCTCAAACTTTTGAAAAAATTATAAATGATTATATGGGCTAGGTGCTATAAAAAGGGCAGAAAATAACAATTTTATAAAAAAATTTTTTTAAGCTTAACTAATTCAAAATTGGCTTAGGGGCATTTTTTACTTAAAAAAAAGTGGTAATATCCTAATAAAATTTTATGTTATAGATAAACCGATGTAAAAAACTAGTTAGATCGGATAAATATTTTCGATATAAATCGATGTAAATCGATGTAGATCATTAGAATTTATCGTAAAAATGTTGAAGTAATATCTCATAATAATAATGATCAACCAATAAAAATCATTTTGAAATTCAATATAAATGCTAATTTTTTAATTAATTTATTCTCCAAGGTACTTTTAGCTTAAATCTGTAATATCTTTAATTCAGCAAATTTTTATTAAAAAATCTAGTGAATTCGGGTTTTCATTTTTTTTTTACTTAGCCATGGTATAACGATACCATTATAGCGGGTTCACAAATAACGTACCACACTGATTAAAAGACTCGGGGTTTAAACTTATAAAATACTCAGGTATATTGTATGACAAAGGAGACTAGATAAATGAATAAAATAAGCTATGGCAAAAATACTACTGTACTATGTAGAAAAAACAGTTTTTGCCAACCCGCTTGTCTAATAAGGTAACAAACAGGTACAATTGCAGGTTCTTCAATGCACATATTACATTTTTGATATATGTTATACTTAAATCGGGTTTATACTTGTATATAATTTCAAATTAATATTTCGATATAACACTAATATAATAAATGATTCAGACGGCATGTGAATACGAAATTGGAGTTAAGAAGTATTTTTTATCAAAACGTGTGAATACGTATGAATGATCTAGAAGAAATATTCTGGCTTGATTATTATTATGAGCATATAATAAGAGTTACGATAGATAAAATAATACTTATTCTCGCTCGGATTTCTTTTTCAAATGCAACAATATTTCAATTTCAATTTTATAATTGTCATGGTCGGCGTTGGTGCCCCGGATATTCGTAGAGCAAGGGTTAGGTCAGAGATTATAATCAGGTCATGATCCCGATTTGCATGAATGGCGTGATTTGGGTATGTATAGGAAATAATTAAAAGTATCGCATGAGCAATAAAATAATCAGTGACGCAAATAGCGATTAGTAATTAATATAAGGTATAACTTTTTTTTTACCAAATTCATATCTCAATCAAATTCGTATAATTTGATCTATCATCGATATCTTATGATATAGTGATCAAATTTTGATGATTTTGATCACTATATTATAAGATATCGATGATAGATCAAATTATATGAATTTGATTGAGACATGAATTTGGTAGAAAAAAGGTATATCAATCCCAAAAGGGAAAGAACCAAGTTTTTTTTAGCTTTGAGAATTAACATCGTTTGCTTAGTGTAAAAACAATCTTAGTAAAAAACTATTACCTGTGTGCATACAACATCGGTGGAAGGACCTGTACGATACACAGTCTTCGAAAAGATAGCCAAGCGAGAAGAAACCGATAATAAAGACCCACCAGTACATAGTAGTACCAAAGGACTCTGTGACAATAATTTCAATTACTTAAGATACATATGAAGAAGACTATAGGAATGGTGCCGCCGCCTATTGCCCTATCTGTGGCTCTCTAACACTTAACGTATCTACAGAAAATGCACCCAGTTGTTTCATCTCTATCTCTTAGAACAGTGTGGGGTTTATACAGCTGTTGCCTTTCCTACTTCTCAAAAACAGTGTGGGGTTTACACAGCTGTTGCCTTTCCTACTTTTCAAAGACAGTGTGGGTTTTCACAGCTGTCTTATCCTACTTCATGGGACAGTGTGGGGTTTACACAGCTGCTTCATTTCGCTAATACAGTCATGTGATTTCGCAGCGATAAATAGCATCGAAGTCATCATGTCTTGTTCGATTGGGTTGTTACCTAAACTTAATTTCCTTTCGGGAAGGATGGGCAGGAAGAACCTTCGATTAGCCAGAAATAGGGTTTCGGGCAACTACTAAAGCAGCAAAAGAAAAGCACACTTCTCTCTTTGATTTTGCAGCTACTTATACCTATCATTAAACTTGTCGGATCAATGACTTCATTCATCATGCAAAAGAATCGTTTGATCTGTGATCTTATTGCAGGATCAGCAATCTCATCATCATGCAAAAAGAATCATTCGACCTATGATTTCATTCTGGCATCACTAGGTCCAGTGACTTCGATGATCATGAGGTCAGGTGATCCTCACAATAATATCCCTCGTCACAGTCAGTCTAAATTCGTTCATTATCAAAAGTCTGCAATATGAATCATCCAGTCAAAATATTCTGGCTTTCTTTTTTATAAACACAGAATTGGAGTTAAGATAAGAATAAACTACCCATTTTATTACCGAAAACTAACAGGTATAAATAGTCTACCTGTAATCTTTTGGTTTGTTACTTGTTATAATATGGATTGGAAGTTAGGAACTTATTTATTCATTAACAAAAAATTCTGTTAAGAAAAGGTATTCATTGATTACCAAAAATCCACAGTTATGAATAATCCAGTCAGATATTCTTGCTTGGTTCTTTTATGAGCATGAAATGAAATTAAGAAAGATAAAATGAAGCATTCGTTCATTATCAGAAGATTAAAAAAAGACTTTCATTTGTTATAAAAAAGTCTACAGGTATGAATGATCTTGATGAAATATTCTGGCATGCTTGTTGCTATAATAATAGTGTTGGTGCAGATAAAAATGAAAATAAGCCATTCACTTATTACTAAAAATTGAGATATTGTGAATATATCGAATTTGTATATATTATACATTATTAGAATCAATGAATTTTTATTATTAATTATGTAATACATAAGTGATTCGTGATTCAAACAAAAATGAGCAAAAATTTATTCAAGAATTAAAGAATTATTGTACAAGAATCCTTTGTTCTTGAACTGTTTTGGTGCATTAAGAAATAATTACGGTGATTTTATTATTGTTATAAATATTGCAGTAAAAGGTTTATTGCAATAAAATCTTGTACAAGTATCACAGTTGGAATGGAAGAATGTTATTATCAATTAATTTATTCTATTATTTGACTATCTTTGAATTACAATCAACTATAGATTTGGATACAATATAACCTCGATATAATGAACTGAATCAGCTGCTATAACAAAGAATTTTTCTACCCAAAATTATGAATTCCTTATAGTAAGATATCTCAATATATTGAAGCCTTGATACCAAACAACCTAGCTCCCGAGCTTCATTATATCGAGATTAAACTGTATTATAATTGAACTTTTATTTTTTACTTATACATATAGACATTTATATTGCACCAATGAAATACTATTGAACCTGATTAAAGGCTTATCATATTTCCAAAAAGATAATATAAGCATATAATAATTATTGAACTCAGAATATTAACAATAGCAATAATAGTTGCTTTCGTGCTTTAATCACTTAAATTGTTGTACTTACTTAAATTAGTTAGCATCCAGACTTAGAGTCGTATTTTTTTCAGTAGATTCTTGTTAAAAACAAAAAATGTGTTAAGTTTAGATACGTACATATATACTTTGATTCATTATCAGTTATTGGGTATACATTTCTTAAAAAATGAATGGAGTAGCAGTCAGTATATGAAATTTTGATATCACGTTCACTCCATTCAACAACAGTCTAATTAATTGGTTGTATGCTTATAAACTATTTATTAGATTTTGACTTCTTCAAATCTTATCAAAAAAATATAGATTCAACACATACATTAGTTTCTTCAATTTTTTTAGAAACACATTCAGAAATAAATTTGTTAGCAAAAGAATTTCATCAGCTTAAAATGTTCTATCAAACAAATAATGATTATAAGTTAGAACTAAAGGAAACATTAGATAAAAAAGAATCTTTTCTTGAAAATATAGAATATAACAATATACTAGAAATACAAGAATCTGATAATCAAATTCTTACACCTTTACAAATTGAAAATTTTCAAAAAATATTTGCTCAATATACTATCAAAGAAAGTGATGATGAACAAGAGACTGACGAGAAAATGACAGTTTTTTTAGATCAGCAGGAAAAAGAAGCTTTTTTTGTTAAACTTTGTACATTAGTTTGCTGTAAAACTAGAATGTGTTTAACTAAAATTGATCATGAATTTGCGTTTCAAATTTTTGATAGTATTCGAAAATTATCAAAAACAGAACATAATATGTTTTTTTTAGGAATGCTTCATATGATAACTCGTTCTAAAGATACTACTTTGTGTGGTAAAGAAAAACAATACTTAACCACTAAATATACTTTTGATAATAATGAAATTTGCGAAATAGCTTTTCGAACTATATATTCATTATCAGAAAAAAAATAGAGAAATATTCGTAACCATTATCGGGACAATGGTATTAAACCAATTGTACATGCACTTGTGGGAAGAAAATCCAATCGCGCTTTACCATTTGCAGCTATTTTAAATGTTCTTATATTTATAGTTAATTATTCAAATTGTCATGGATTGTCATTACCGGGTAAATTGATATAGCAATATTAGTTATACTAACCTTTTTTTAAAGAATAATAAATAAATAAAAGTTGGCTGATATTTCCACACCCATGAAGATTACACTTTTTTAAAAAATATTAATCGAAAGTATCTCATCAATCACCCATAAATTTTGGTGAATCTTTTTTTATTTGAACTCTATAAATCAACAGAATTCAAATAAAAAAAAGTATATCGAATTTCATAGAACAGTTGTCAAATCAATTTTTTTAAAAAAATTTTAAATGTTTATCAAAATATAAGCCGCAGCAAAATGTTCCTTATTTTGATCATAGATTTCTTGACAATTACTTAATGAAATTCGATGTACTTTTTTTATTTAATTTCATAGATTCATAAAATTCAAAAGTATATCGAATTTCATAGATTAGTTATCAAGATATCTTTAATCAAAGTTTTAAAAAAATTTTAACCTCTATTAAAATATTAGCTACAGCAAAATGTCTTTTGACTTTGATCAAAGATATCTTGACAACCAACTAATGAAATTCGATGTACTTTTTTTATTTGAATTTTGTAGATTCATAAAATTTAAATAAAAAGAAATTTATTAAAATTTATTAAGTAATCGTTGAGATGCCTTTGATCAAAGGTTTAAAAAAGAGTGATAGGTATGAAAATATCAAATGGGATATAGAAATATTAGGTAACATAGTGATGGCAGAAAAAATTCGCGATTAGGTAATTTTTGATCGTTTTGAATCTCACAATGCAACCAGAATATATCAACATACAAAAATTTATACAATTTAGACAGTACTATATTAGATTTGCAAAAAGGTATAACCTCTGCAGATTATGATAGCACAAGAAATTGGCTGATTTTACGATTCTTAGAGAATTTTAAGATTTAAAAAAATATATATAGATGGTATTAATTGAAAATTATGATCGATAGGGTATTAAAATCTTTCTGCTATTATCATAATGAAATTACAGGGTTACACCTTTTTGCAAGCTGCCATAATATAAGTTTATTGATCATTAATTGGGTCACGATTATCTGATCGCGGATTTTTTTTGCCACCATGTTATCTAGAGATATTAGCTTCTTAAAGTTTTGAAATTGTTTTAACACATAGCAAATACATATATTTTTTTAATTAATAAATATGCATAAATAAAAATTTATTAGACTGTCATTTTTCTGAAGATACTATGGCTATTACATTTCTTCCTGCAAGTGAAAGCTATATTGGACTCTACCATATCTATCAATCAAGTTTAGATAAAACTTCAGATTTTCATATTAGTCAATGGTCTTTTGTATGAATTTAGAAAAAGTATGTTCCAAAATTTTGCTTTTTATCACCTCGAAGCGACCTATGTATGCTATGTAAAAATATGCGATTTAATGCTCAATTTTGGGCAGAAAGTGAACGAGATCAAAACGTTCAACAATGAAATGATCATATCAATTGGGCAAATTAAAAACGGGAGTATTATAAGTAAGAAAATCTATAATTAGAATTAATTACTGTATTCTAAAATATATAATAATTTTTGATGACCAGAGCCATTTTAGTTAGAGATATATCTCTTGCATAATCAGCTTAGCATATACGATTTCATTTTGCAAGTTCACAAGTATCATGTGATAAGAATTCATTTTATAAAATTTTCTTAATCAAATAGTTTGTTTTATACAAGGTCACAAATATGATAGTTTTGTCATTTTATATGAGGTACATCTCTAGTCCTAGTATTGGTTATAAAAAAACATAGTTTATATCATAATTAAAGCTCAAAAGCACAATAACGATAAAGAGCTATTTTAGTATTAGAAAATACAGCTAATACGACAGATAAGTTATAAAAGTATGATCAAAGATATTTTATTTTTGCTATTAAATGTTTAATAAAAAATTATCATAAGTACTAAGATTGAGATGATTCTAAGCATTAATTATGAGCAATACTAGACAGGCTAGATAGTTAGCATAAAATAATACCTGAGAAAGACTTTTTAACAAGCCTAATCTTAATAGTTTTATTTTTTATATAGCAATTAATTTATTAAAATTTTCGAATTCTAAAGAATTTGGTATACCTGGATGTGAGAGCATAGATTTATCATTAAAAAATTCTTGTTTTTTTTTTTTTTAGTTAAGGAGACCTCTTTGGCCTGAAAGCTTTTATTAGGATTTGAAACGATGTTTTATATGCAATTACAATGATGTACATCAAGCCACACGTGCACCTTTTGAGTGCCTAATTTAAGTAGTCCGCCCGAAGGTTCTACACTATCTGCCGTA